TAGGAAAATGAAATTTGGGGAATATGTTTAACTCATAATAGGGCACGTTTTGACCCTATTTGTACTTTCAACCTATCCTTCTAAACTACTAAACGTAACCACCCCCATTCAATTTATGCCTAGATTTTTTGTATGAAGATGATAAATACATTGGAAAAATTTCAGTTAGATAGATAAAACTATTCTAAAACTTTTTTGTCTCTCTGATGTTCTTCGAAAAATTAATAATTTCTGAGAAAAAAAATAATTAAGCAAACACTAACTGTTAAGCTGTGGGTGGTTAATCGAAAGTTGGAATGAATTTTTAATGAAAAAATCTTAGTAGGCTTTGCAATCTTTGTCAGAAATATTTTTGACGTTTAAATGTCAATGGTTTTCGTACTATTATTATTGTTTTATTTGAAATTTTGAAACGTCGAGTGAACGAGCGTAAATGCGATAGAACTTTATTTAAAATTAATTTGAAAAACAATAATAATAGTAAGAAAAACACTAACATTTAAACGTCAAAAATATTTCTGACAAAGGTTACAGAGGCTACTAAGATTTTTTCATTATAAATTCATTCCAACCTTTGATCGACAACCCCGATGTTTAAAGTGCAGTATTTGCTTTATTATTTTTTTTCTCAAAAATTAGTCGTTTTTGGAAAAATTTTAGAGACAAAAAAGTTTTAGGATACTTTCAGCTACCTAGGTAAATTTTTTTTAATGTATTTATCATCTGCATAAAAAAAATACTAGCAAAAATGTAAAGGGGGTGGTTACGTTTAGTAATTTAGAAGGGTAGGTTGAAAGTACAAATAGGATCAAAACGTGCGCTATTATTCCCAGTTAAACATATTCCCCAAATTTCATTTTCCTAGCGTTTATGGTTTTTGAGAAAAAGAAATTAAACCAAAATTTTCCGCCATTTTTGGAGGGGTGTAGCTCCTTAGGGGAGCCCAAGTCGCCCATGGTTTATATATCAAAGTACCCTTAAAATTGCCTAAAGAATCACCCCCTGAAGTTTGAGCACGTCATTCAGATACACCCTGTATATTAAAGTACCCTTAAAATTGCCTAAAGAATCACCCCCTGAAGTTTGGGCATGTCATTCAGATACACCCTGTATATAAATATCAAAGATTAATTGTTTTAACAAACAATTAATTAATCCTGATAAGAAATCGTTTATTTAAGCATTGTTCTGTAATTTTTAATACTTTTTGGTCGATTAAAAACAGGGAAAGGACAACTTATTAAAAAATAACAATCTTAATTAATTTATTTATTTGAATTTAACGTCTTTCTTTTTCAACTAGTTCCCCTCTCATTTTTTCCATATGCTAAAACCGATTATGTAGCGATAAGAAACCATTTAAATTGCTTTGTTATTCAATACGTTCAGTTCGCTACTGTTGTTATTTATTTAACGGTTCAACGTTCAACTCGTGCTTTAAATCGGATAATACATATTATATTCAGTAGATAAACGATGTTTGAAAAACAATGTTTTAAAAACGAAATGTTAAATGCAAAGTTAAGTATGTGTTGTTTTTGTTTTTCTTTTACTTTTAGGTTATGAACGCGGATCAAACTGATGTTTATTACGAGGTGTTAAGCATGGAAACGTCCGGCGAATTGGATAGAAATCGATTAAATTTAACGCTGAATCTATCTAGCTTGATACAATCGCCCAGTATCACTTCTATTGATACCATTACACCCAAAGATGAACATTTATCAGGTAAAAATCAAGACTGTTGTTTCCATTTTTTAGTTAAAAATGAATTATTAGGCTAGCCATTGTATCTAAGTTAAAAATGAAGAATAAAAAAATCTAAAACTATCTAGGGCATTGTTACAGAGATTTTAAATGCTCTCATTGGCTAAGAGCTGGATCTATCCATTCTCTGCATTGAAAGAGTAATTCAAAAGTTTTGAAACTTGACGAACTCATCAAGATGGTATTTATATATGTATATATTTTTTGTAGATGGTGACGAACCATTGTTAAGCGGTACAGGTCAAGTTTCAAAAGACTGCGCAGAAGATGTTTTAGAAAATTGGGCGGACGTCCTTCAAAAATGGAAAACGACCGATCAACGCCCGAAGCAACTCTCCGCGCTCGTAAAACTAGGTATTCCGGAGGCTCTAAGAGGTGAAGTTTGGCAACGATTAGCAGGCAGCGACGACCAACTCCTCGAAACATATCGTATCCTAATGACGAAAGAATCTAGTTGCGAAAATGTCATCGAACGCGATATCGCCCGAACATTTCCCGCTCACGATTTCTTTAAAGAAGCTGGAGGACAGGAATCTCTCTATAAAGTCAGTAAAGCGTATGCTGTTTATGATGCTGAAGTGGGTTATTGCCAGGGATTAAGTTTTTTAGCCGCCACCTTATTATTACATGTAGTTATTTGATTATATCCCTTATTTATAAACTAAATATTAATGAATATTTAATTCTAGATGCCTGAAGAGCAAGCATTTTCCGTTTTGGTAAAACTAATGTATGATTATAGTTTAAGGGATTTATATAAAGACGGATTTGATAATTTATATTTGCGTCTCTATCAATTAAATAAATTGATGGAGGAACAACTGGGGCCGTTATGGCAACATTTTACTGCTCATCACGTTGAAACCCATATGTTTGCTTCCCAATGGTTTTTAACACTTTTTACTGCTCGATTTCCTTTATATTTCGTTTTCCATATCATCGACGTTTTTCTTCTTCAAGGAATCGATACTTTATTTCAAGTTGCTTTAGCTTTATTATCGGTACTAATTTATTAGGTACATTTAATAATTGTTTAATATGTTATTTTGTAGATGTGTATGAAAGATCTTCTCCAGTTAGATTTCGAAGGTATCCTAAAATATTTCCGAGTAAGTTTACCAAAAAAATGTCGTTCCGAAGAGATCGCCAAACAGATAATGAAAAAAGCGTGCGGAATCAAAGTGAAAAAACTGAAAAAATACGAAACGGATTTTATCGCATTAAAGGGTAAGTGGCAGTCGGGGTCGCCGAGCTCCGGTAGTAGTAGCTGTAGTTGTCCTCTAGACAGCTGGGACATTATCAATTTGGATACAGAGGCTGCGGACAAAGAGGAATCAGAGGCGTCCGAGGTGGCCAAGTTGCACGCCGCTTTGCAACGGAGCGATGAGGAGAAACGCTTGATGTTGGACGAAATCGCTCAATTGAAGGAGATTCTTAAACGGGAGGTGACCCAAGCGGAGAATGAAAAAATCACCAATCAAAGTGTTCTAAACGAATGCAAAGGCGTTAAACAACGATTAGCCAATCAATTGGCACTTACGACGAGTAAACTTGAATTAATCACAGTTAGTATTATTAATTTTTTTTAAATTTCATTAAACTAAAAAACATTGATAATAAAGCAGCCATGGTGAACTTGGGTTGTCTTTGTTAAGTAACATGAAGGTGTTTAGAATCAATTAGAATTATTTTAACATTCACCAAGAGGATTTTTTCTATTCCTTTGAATCCCTTTCAAAAAACATCAAAACGATTTTTTTAATTCTACCAACCCCGTTAAGTATTCTAGAGATGAACTAAAATTAAAACTAGAACTAACACTAGAAACTTTCGAGTTTTGTCGTGCGTCTTTTAAGAAAAGGTTTTGAGAAAAAGGTTCGGATGTCTAAAGGTGGGATTCTTATGATGCGTCTGACGCAAGCGGCGATCGCAGTGTGTCTGACGCAGTGTACTGCTTTAATATTATTTTATGTACTAATTTCCTATGTAGCGTCATCGGCTATACCCCTCGAAGAGCAGTATAGACGCAGCCGTTAGTCAATTCTAAAAAAAAAACCTGTGCAGATTGAAAACTGCTGTGGTGATATCAAAACGAAAAATTTTATTTAAATTTGATTTAAAACGAAAAATGTCCATGGAAACGTTTACAGGTTTGCGAAGATGAAAAGTTGGTGGAAGTGGTTGCAAAGTTTCCGTGTATTTATGATCTTTTAAATCCGGCTCATAAAGACCAAATAATAATAGATAATGCCTGGAAGGAAATATCGCAATTTGTAGGGAGATCAGGTAGGAAAAACATCGTTACAATTCATTATCATTTGTTATATTAGCTTTATTAGAAAATATAGGTGTCTCACTGAAGAGGGACATAAGGTTTTTTGGAAAAACTATAGATGCAATAAAATTCATATTTGGCACGTTGATGTAGGGTGAAGAAATACAGGGTGATTCATTAGCTCTGTGACAAACTTTGACAGATGAAAGGTGATGCGATTCTAAGGAAAAAATGTTATATGAATATGGGTCCGATTCATTTTGGTTAAAGAGTTACAAGCCTTTGAAAATTTTACACAGTTTAATAGGCAAATGAAAATGTAACATAAAAAATTATAGATATTTGGATCATTCCGTATGCTATTAGCTGCATCTTGAATTCTGTCCAGTAGTTGCTGACGGGTAGTAATTTCTACATGGTACACAAGCTGCTTCATGTGTCCCCAGAAATAATAATCCAGCGGATTTAGATCTGGGGATCGTGGTGGCCAGACTACTGGACCTCCATTGCCAATCCATTTGTTTGGAAAATGTTCATGTAACCAAGCGATGACTTCTCTTCCTCGATGTGGTGGTGCACCATCGTGCTGATACCACATATTTTGAACGATGTTAAATGGTACGTCGTCGATAAAATCGAAAAGGTTATGTCCCAAGAAATTTCTGTACATATTTGCATTTAAGCGTTCATTTATCACCCATACAGGTAGCAAAGAATTGTTAAAAATGCCACCCCAAACGTTTACACTAAACCGTTGCTGAAATCTTCCTGGTCTAATTGCATGTGGATTTTGCAAGGACCACACATGTTCGTTATGATAATTATTTATGCCGTCCCTAGTGAAACACGCTTCATCAGACCACAGAACTTGGGAAATGCAGTTATTATTTTGAGCATGTTGCTGAATAATCCAGTGGCAAAATGCTAAGCGTTGCTCAGTATCTCCAGGATGTAATGCTTNATCTAAAGGTGGGATTCCTATGGTGCGTCTGACGCAAGCGGCGATCGCAGTGCGTCTGACGCAGTGTACTGCTTTAATATTATTTTATGTACTAATTTCCTATGTAGCGTCAGCGGCTTGCGGCGATTTTGTTGAACGCAAAGCCGTGCGGCTATACCCCTCGAAGAGCAGTATAGACGCAGCCGTTAGTCAAGTCTAAAAAAAAAACCTGTGCAGATTGAAAACTGCTGTGGTGATATCAAAACGAAAAATTTTATTTAAATTTTATTTAAAACGAAAAATGTCCATGGAAACATTTACAGGTTGGGAAGATGAAAAGTTGGTGGAAGTGGTTGCAAAGTTTCCGTGTATTTATGATCTTTTAAATCCGGCTCATAAAGACCAAATAATAATAGATAATGCCTGGAAGGAAATATCGCAATTTGTAGGGAGATCAGGTAGGAAAAACATCGTTACAATTCATTATCATTTGTTATATTAGCTTTATTAGAAAATATAGGTGTCTCACTGAAGAGGGACATAAGGTTTTTTGAAAAAACTATAGATGCAATAAAATTCATATTTGGCACGTTGATGTAGGGTGAAGAAATATATCTTTCAATGGTAGTGTCATAGAATACAATCTACTAAATCATACAATCTACTACTTACGGTTATACTGAAAATTGTTCACTATTTATAAGATAATTTAAAAATTTTATTTAACATTTGACTACATAATTGATTTACAAACTTAATTCCAAACAACATTCATTCGAAAAATGTTTTGCTTCGTCTACAATGTTTGAGACAAAAATTAAATTAAATTATGTTGCCAATTTTTAAATAACATTTTAAAACTTCTTTAAAAATAGTCACTTCCGGTTTAATCGGAAGAGATAGAAACATGATACTATACCACTAAAAGATAGACCATTTCAACCTTTATCATCGTGCCAAATATTAAATTCATTGCATTTATGGTTTCTCCAAAAAAACCCTATGTCCCACTTCTGTGGGACACACTGCATAATATACACTACTGTGTTCTGGTAACATGATTATTTTGCCAAGATACTGTCCCTGCACGACTGTTGAAATATTTCATGAAGGAATTTCTTACATGAAATCCATCCGTATGTGCAAACCTCCCACCTCTAGTAAGTGGTATAAAACGCAAACAGTTTAACGCACTGCGATCGCCGCTTCCGTCAGACGCACCATAGGAATCCCCCCTTAAAACGTCAAACACCTGTTCTTAAAAAACGCACGGCAAAACCCGAAAGTTTCTAATGTTAGTTCTAGTTTTAGTTCAATTAACACCGGCCGTGAAAACCTTCGTACTTATATTCTAGAGATGTTTAGAATCAATCAAAATGATTCTTTTTTGACACATACCAAGAGGCTATTATGAATTATACAGGGTTCCCCATAATAGGCTACCCATTTTGAAATTTGAATTAAAATTTTTTTAGTTAACAAAACAAACTTTTTATTATACTAAATTACAGCAAACTTTTTGGGATTTATGATAACTTATAAATATTTGGCTAATTTAATTCTAACTTTTAAAAATCACGTCTTCTAATTGACCTCCACCAACTTCAACACATTTTTCAATATTAGATAAAAAGTGGTTCATTACACGGCGTAGCAAACCTTCGTCTATTCCTTCAACTTCTTCACGAATTTTGACTTTGAGTTCCTCGATTGTACCTGGACGACTAGCAAACACTTTAGCTTTTAAATATCCCCACAGGAAAAAATCGGGTGCCGTTAAGTCGGGGGACCTCGAAGGCCAAAGCAAATCTCCGAATCGAGAAATGAGTCGACCATTAAACATTTCTCGCAGAACCCTCATTGAGTTTCTGGCGGTATGAGCTGTTGCCCCATCTTGTTGGAATAGTAAGGGATTGTTTAGTAATCCTCGTCTATTTAATTCTGGAATGAGGAATGTCTCTAGCATGTTTACGTAGCGCTCGGATGTTACTGTTACAGCGCGGTTATTTTCATTCGCAAAAAAATATGGACCAATAATACCAAAAGATCCTACTCCACACCACACAATAACTTTTGGATTATGGAGGTTCTGTGTAAAGATTTCACGAGGATTTTCATTTGACCAGTATCTAAAATTCTGTTTATTAACCATGCCGTTCAAACAAAAATTTGCTTCGTCGCTCATTAGGAGATTGTGAATTGCTCCTTGATGTAAATCCAACAATTCTTGACAAAATGCTAACCTTGCTTCTTTATCTTGATTGCTAAGGTGCTGTGCCATTTGGTACTTATAGGGATGAAATTTTAAATCCTTTCGAATAATTCGATCTAAGCTTCCCTTTGATATTCCTAGGATAAGGCTTTGTCGATTAGCAGACCTTTTAGGACTTCTTGTAAACGCAATTCTAGCTCGTTCAATATTTTCTGGTGTACGAATTGTTCTTCGACGTCCAGGCTTCTTCAAGTCTTGTACAGAACCGTTTTCACGCCAATGACGAACCCATAACTTAACAGTTTTACGGTTTGGGGTGTGACCCCTATTGTTGTTAGTAAACTGACGCCGGAATGCACGCCTAACTTCTTCTATCGAATTGCTTCTAATGTAAGTTTCTACACAAAACACACGTTGTTGGACTGAGTAATCCATGAAAGTTCAAACAGATGTTGAAAAAAAGTGACGAAACTAAAAATAATATCGAATATTATCTCGATAATAATAATTAATAATTTAAAACTTATTTGTGACAGGCGACTACTTGATTAATAATTAACTTAAATCCCAAAGACTACAGAAGATATTCTCACAGAGAAAAACTTATTTAGTTATCTCATAGGGAATTTATTAATAAAATAAAATGGGTAGTCTATTATGGGGAGCCCTGTATTAAAATAAAATGAATTCTTTTATTTTATAGAACAAAATCTGTGACAACTGCAAAAAAATCCTCGAAACCGAATTAAAAGAATCTGAAAACGACGAAGAAGAACCAATCACATCAGAGCGCGTTCGCGAATTAGAACTCGAATTAGCCCAAGTAAAACTAGCAAAAGTAGAGGCCGAATGTAAAAACCAAGATCTCACCCACAAGTTGCGTTCGACCGAGGTAGAATTGAGCACCGCGAAGAACTCGTGGCCTCCGTGGTTGAGCAAAACGTTGACGTCGATCAAAGAGGTTGCTAATAAAAAGGATTTTACGACTCACTTCACTTATCCAGGACACGTACCCACATCAACGCCGTCTTTCGTTTCGCACATCAATTCGTTACGTAGAGATTCAGCGCCGATTTTAAAAGATTCGCAGAGTTGTAGTAGTTTAAAACAACCAAATTAACTCGATTCATTTTTGATTCTCAATCTAATACTTTAATTAATTATATTTAAAGAAAAAGTTTATTTTATTGACTCGATTTTTGATTTCTAAGTAGGGTTAAAAATTTGACGTTTTTGAAATGTCAATAAGAATGATATTTTATTTGCCATATGTAAAATATTAATATGTATTTAAATGTAAAATGTAATAATGTATGTTATCTTTATTGTTAAATCTTGAAAGCCATATTTCATTATTATTATTATTTAGTTTGATTTTTTAGTTTAGTCCGTCCTAACCTATTTAAAAAATAAGATTAATTTTTTTAATACTTTCTTGTTTAATTCGTTTGAACACACTCAAAAAAAGGAAAATATTCTCACCATATTTACTAAAGTATTTATTATTATTAAAAAAAGAACAAAAATAAATAAATATATTATAAAAAAGGATTTAATTAAAACCTGCTCGCGAATCCACCTCCGCGACTATCCGAATGCGAATTCAAATCATCCGAGATCTTTTCAACTATATTGCAACTCGAATAAGGTTCTTGAAGATAAGTTGGATTCCCCAACTTCATCAAATCCGCAATTATATCCCCGTTAAAAGTTTGAGAATGATATTCTACAAATAAATCATATCATATTTTTAGTGCAACTTTAACTCCTTTTTACCTTCATATCCAATAAATTTGTTCAGTAAAATATCGAATCTAGGTTTTTCAATGACCACTGTTGAGTTATCCCCATCAATAATTAATCCAGAAACAATTTGAAGCGCTGTAATAAGATTTCGCGTCCCCAACACGAATCGTTTTGCGCAAATAAAATCTCGATTGATTAATATTAGGGGCAAAAAACTTGAAGTGTCCACCAAATCAGGAATGTAACCAGTTTCAGTGAATATTTTTGAACCAAACGGTTCTGAAAGTCCCCTAAAAAAATTAATTAAATATTTACTTCAATATTAATTAATTTAATTCACATGACTAAAGAAACATATAAATCGTTTTGATCCATAACAGCAACATTTGTTGTTGTTTCCCCAAAAAGCTTTCTTTCTTTCTTAGTATGTTCAAATAACTCAATCGATAAATTAGCCAAAACATAAGTAAAATCCACAATTTCTTCAGAATCATTTAAATCTTCAACTTTATTTAACCAGGTTACAAAATCATCTCCGTAAACATCATCCGGAACAAAAACGTTATAATTTTTAAACGATCTTCGTTTTGATTCATCCAAACTTTGATTGAACGTTTTTATTTGGTTGTATATATCGGGAAGATCCATGGTGGTTTTTAAAAAATTCGCTAAATCTTTTTGTTTATGTTTACTTCCAGCTTGAATTGATGGGAATAATTTTTGTAACTTTGCGTTTTTTATTGCTTGTTGGAGTTGTTTTGATACGAAAGAACCTTTCCTAAAAAAATAAATAATAAAATACTTAGAAAATATATGTTTCAATTAATTAGAAATACATTGCTAAGTCAGCTGCTGGTTCAATCAATTTCGCCCAAGCTAACTGTCCATAATAACTGTGTGCTTTAACCATCCCTACTAAAAGTCTTGGAAAATCTTGAAAACGAGTACTAAAATCTATTACTTTTGCATTTTCTCGTGTCCTGTGGTTGTAAATAATCATTTGACCACCACTAGAAAAGAGTTTATAGAGTAGCAATCACCACTGTGTGATGACACACATCTTAACTCACGCATCTAAACCAGAAGTATGAGGATTAACCACCGCAAGACAAAATGCAGAGGCAATAGCCGAATCCACAGCATTCCCTCTTTGTTTTAGAATTTGTGTCCCAATAAGTGAACATTCCCTGCTATCAGTTGCTACGGAACCATGCGGAACCACCTTAAAACATTAATAAAAACAATAACTCGAGTAGGTACCTATATCTTTGTAACAATATATTCATCATTTTTACTTGGAAATCGCCATAATAAATCTGTATTAATAAAGCAATGGTTATAACTATTGAGAAAACTCCAAATGCAGTAGTTATAAATCTAGGTCCTTCAATTAAGTACTGAAAACAAGTTTTCTTTTCTGTTTTCTTTAACGGAACGTTTTCATTTAGTTCTCTTCCATCAGAATTTGTAGCCATTCTTTTAAAGTTTTTCATTTAATAATATAAATTTTCTTATAATAATAAAAATAATAACGGTATTATATGAATCACACTTTAAGAACTGTTACGTGCTGTTACGCCAGCGTTTACTTAATCGACTTAATCTATCTTAACCTTGAAGAAGAGGAAGAAGGAAGATGGCAGATTTTCTTTAAAAATAAGAATTAATGGGGTCATACACGATTTTTTTTTTATTATATTTTCTGAAAGTTTATATAAAAATATAGTTACCGTTATTTTTTTTTTAATATTTTCGAACTAAATCATTATTAAAAAAATTGTTGAAAATTTATATACTCATTTGCGCTTTTAAAATTCCCGCGTTGATGACGTACGTATCAGCTTTGCGTCCCCTGCTTCCCGCTCAAATGCGAGAAAGAGATGAACGTCATTTAGGTTGTATTGAAAAGAGATAGAGTGTTTGCAGGTTATGTTTATTATGTTTTGTTCATGGATGTAATAGAGACACTCTATTACATCCATGGTTTTGTTTTGACACTGTCATACCGCAAGCGCTATCTAACGGACAATTTAACTTGTTTCAGACGTCACAGAAAAGCCGCGAAATTATTTCGTTTGAATCCTTGTTTATAGATATACATAGTTATTCAACCGATCGAGTTGGGTTGCTCTAGCTCGTGCTGCCTCTAACGGCGAACGAGAAAAACATCATTTATGAATGAATTGAATAAAATTGGAAATCCAACTTGTAGTAGAAGTTGCATACTCAGAATAAAAGATTAATTGAATTTATGTGATTGAACACGAAATTGTTTAACATATNCCCATTTGCGCTTTTAAAATTCCCGCGTTGATGACGTACGTATCAGCTTTGCGTCCCCTGCTCCCCGCTCAAATGCGAGAAAGAGATGAACGTCATTTAGGTTGTATTGAAAAGAGATAGAGTGTTTGCAGGTTATGTTTATTATGTTTTGTTCATGGATGTAATAGAGACACTCTATTACATTCATGGTTTTGTTTTGACACTGTCATACCGCAAGCGCTATCTAACGGACAATTTAAGTTGTGCGGTTCTACGTCACAGAAAAGCCGCGAAATTATTTCGTTTGAATATTTGCTATTTTTCACTTCAAATTACGCAAAATATAAAATTGATCAAAATATTTCTTTTACTTTGTATTCATGCATATACTTGCATATCGTCGGCCTAATCTGCAAAACCCGTAAGTCACAAATAAAGAATTTTAGAGGAGGAGTAAAAAACGTTTCAAAAATTAATTTTCAAATATATAATTGTTCTATTGCTATAGAATATCAAATATGTGTTCTATCTTATATATTTATGGGTTATTATGTATTAAACAATATTTATTGACATTAAAACGGACTTACGGGATTTACTCATAAAAAATTCAAATATAATTGGACATACTGGATTTTCATGTTTAAAGAATAAATACAGAATTATTAAGAATACACTAAACATTTTAAGATATTTATTTACCAAATTATTGCAAAATTACAATTTTTTAGAATAAACAGATACAGATACAAACAAAATATACTTATTTTTCGAAGAAACAGATAAAACAGAATAGTTAGGTATATTTTAAAATATATATGGAAATTATTATAAGACAATGCAACGGTCTTATTTAACAAATGGAAGGTTATTATAAAAGTAATGATAGTCCTTCATTACCACTGGACATTTAGCTTCTTTTCTCTGACCTTTACTTACTTGGCTATAATGAAGTTCATCAAAATCTTCTGTATGCCTCAATTTATAAAATAAAGAGCTTTGCTGGACGTATAGATTTCAAATAATTTAACATGTGAAAATCCTTGAAAAAAGTATAATCCAAATAAAAAACTTTATAAGGTTGTTTTTCTCGAGCTTTCAAACAAATGTTCACATAATCGGCTGGTACATTGATGTCTGTGTGCCGTATCCGTTTCTCAATCGTTGAATGCATCGAATCTGCCTCCATCTGGGTATGGCCTTTTTCGAGCTATTTTTGTTCAATAGTTATATCCAGAGTCATCGATAAGTTTATTAATGCGTTGGCCAAAGTGGAATTACAATATTACTTTTTGTCTTGGTTCCATATTCATAAAAACATTATCTATTATAAATTTGCAGATTATAGTAGAATAGTCATTTGCCGAGACACTCCCATTTGATTCATGCCATAAGTAACAATATCCATTTTTAGTTTTTAGGTCAAAAAATGTGAAGTTATGTACCAATAACTTCTGTTTGAAGTAAAGTGATGAAGTATTTGACTTCGGTGATAACAGAACTGATTGCAGGTCCATGCAAAAAATATGACTTTCTGCTTCTTTATCTTTTATTTTTTCTTCCTTTGCTTCTTTTTTCATTGTCTGGTGTAAGTTGAAAATTTCATCTGATAGATTTCCAGTTCTATGACTTACACATTTGTCACATTCGTCTTTCTTTGGATGAAAGAGCGACAAGTTCATTTTCTCAAAAACATGATTAAATGATATACTGGATGCGAACTTGTATTTATTATCTGTGCACCATTGTTTGTAAAATGTATAAATTGACGATTTTGACTGCCATAATGGCTCTAAGTAAAATTTTGATGATGACGATCGGCAGTAATGAGATTCGACCTTGTTGTTTTTCAGTATTCGCTCCCACATCTTTATTTATATTCTTTTCCCGAGCAATTTCCTTCAACCAGTCCAAAACCATGTTCTCTTTTACGCAATGTGTGCGTAAAAACATTTGCTTGCATACTCTTAAACAATCACCTGCTTTTTTTAAGTAGTATTCTAAAGTCACGCTTCTTTTTGACACATTATCCCCTTTTCTATTTCTTTATCTATTAATAGGCTTAGATACAATTAATAATGACACATACACTTTTCTTGTAGACCATGTCATTTCTGACCAAAAATGATCAAAAATATTTTCCTTCTCCGTTTCTGAAAAATCGCGACATTTTAGCACCGAATTCTCACGCAAGGAAGATTTGCAGTTGCACCACTCTTGCATTTTTCTCTCCTCTTTTGGCAAATCGTATCTCCATTTTCCGTCGACCATTTTTCTTCCTAAATATTATTTTACTAACGATAAAACTAGATTCGATGGCACAAAGGGAATTAGTAATTTCTGGAATGTCTAATAATAACAAGCTTTTATTGTCTTGTATTGATGTCGGATTGCACAAACTAATATCGTTAGTAATATTGTCTATTTGTTGATTATAAGGTAACATGATACTAGTTTCAATACTCTGTTCATTATCATAGAAAGGTGTTACAGAGTTACAATTGTGCATTATAGGACATGAATGATTCTTTCTAGCAACTGATTCAGGCTCAGATTCATTTAAAATTTCATCCAATTGTACAATATTGTTTTGATTGTTCATTGCATTGTGTGTGACTTGGTTATTCGGCAGCATGCCTATATTTTTTTTTATCTTTAACATACTCAATTATGTTTGCTGAAATGAAATTAAAAACTAATTATAAGTTATTTTAATATGCGAAGCCTCTCGCAAATCCCACAAGTCCAACTGTGTTAATATATAACATAATATAGAATAACTTACCTTTAGCAAAAATTGCAAATAAAGTCACACTGATTCTGGATGTTTACATATAATTTGTTATTCAACAGAACCCTCTGTTCACTGCATGCTGGATTACTCTGCAATGAGGACTTACGGCTATTACGTCTCGGGTTCAACGAGCATGGACTTGCGAGGTTTACTAAATTTTAAATTAACGAAAAGGTAATTTTTACAGAAATATGTAATTTTTTCAGTCAATAGATTATTTTTTCCTCAACAGATGCCACTAAAATGTCAATTTAGACCAAAAGTGGACTTACGGGTTTTGCAGATTAGGCCGACGATATATCGTTTGACGTAAAAATTTTCTCTAAATTTAATAAGTGTGTATGACCCCATTTAAACTTATATTTATTAATTTTTCTTAATTATTGAGTCTACTTTTAATTAACTAGTTTAACAGAATTCAAAAAAAATATTTTTTGGATTATTGAATTTTTTTTATAAAGAAAATTATTTCTATTTACATATTTACAATTATAATAATTTAAAACAAATTAGTTAAATTATATAGTATAAAGTTTAATTTTAAAATCAATACAATTCGCCCTTTTATAAATAAAAATAATTTAAGTTGGTACTTTAACAAAATTTAATATAGTTATTCCGTTTAACCGATTATAACCTAAAAATTTATCTCTAACAGTGATTCTTAAAAACTCCATTATAATTCATAAAAAAAGTTTAAATCTTATTAATATCATTAAAAATGAATAACTCAGGAATGAATACTCAACCATCTATAACAAAATATCTAAATTTATTCAGTCCACATTCATCAAGTAGTGATACAAATTCATCGAAATTAGCAAAAACAAGTAAAAGATCATTAAAATCACATAAATCTCCAAAATCATTTAAAACCACTAAATCTGTAAAAGCATCATCGTCAATGTTAAAAGATTGGTTAAAAATTAATAAAGAAAATTGTGACACTCCGAATACAAAAAATCGTAAACTCTTGGCTACACAGCCTTTTGATGAAGAAGCCGAACGAAAACTATTAAACAGAATCGAATATTATCAGAAACGGATTAAAAAGTACGAAGAAACAAAGAGATTAGTCGAAGAAATTGAAGAACTTGATAAAAACCAACCAATTTATGTTCCAACAAGTGTTTCAAGTCCGGAAAAGAATCCACATATTGATTGTTTTGATATGTCAGAACATGATGTTAAAGTTGCATATTATAAACATTTAGAATTATTAAAAAATATTAACGAAGAAACGGTTTATTCAGAACGGCACGAAATATTTAAAAATGAGAAAGATTTAAACGATAGAGGTGGATTTAATTTATGCTCAAATATAGCTATGGTTGCATTTAAGAAAGAACACGTTATGTGGTTGTCAAAGAAATTACACAAATGGTTTGGTGAAGATGTCGATTATCAAATGAAGGTTTTACTTCCCGAATTGTTGTTGCAAATTTTTATGGATAAATATAATATGTCTCGAAAGGCAGCTTCTGATTATTTAAGCAATATGTAAAAAATACAGCATCATTATTTTTAGTAAATTTATTATTTAAAGTAGATTTGTT